TAATACATCCGCTGTATAGCTCGAACCTTCCACCAACAAAGTAACATCTATTTCGACATCTGCAAAGCGCCTCCAAATATGGTGTTAATTTCAATAAAGAGATGCAAAAATTGCTTGTCACTATTTTTGTGATCGAAATTACAGAAGCTATAGAATGATATGATAATGGTGTTGCCAGAAGACAGGCAGAAGATCTTCGGTTAAAGTAGCACATGTCTAGTTTAATTATATTTATTTTAAAATAAAAACGTACTTTAATTTTACTTAAAAAAAAAGTCAACACCTTTTTCATCAAACCAATATCGTAACAGTAGATTCTTTAAACTCGATTGAATCATGGCTGAAGACTTATAATGGCCCATATTCAAGTAATTCAATTACCTAGATTATGGGTTGTTTACATAAAAACTTTTTGACGGCCTTAGAATTCAAACGTATCATTCAAACATGGCACGTTTTAAGTATATAGTTCGCAAGTAAGCGAATAAGAGAACCACGAGAGTATTATACTTGATTGGTCAAAAATCTATGATACTATGCCTTTTCATTCCATAGACGTACACAAATTGTATCCTTTTCCCAAACGTGTAGTTCATGATAAAAATATGTCACTCTTCAAAGCTACATAAAAGACAATTTGTTTCATTTGTCAATTCCTTTCTGTTGGAATCCAATGTCATCCGAATCAGCTGGGATCTCTATTTAACAGCATTACAGACTGAGAGGGGAGATTGACTACTGCCATCGGATCATCAGGTCGGGGTCACCCTGCTTAAAATCCTCGTCCCGTCAGACGAGTTAACCATTTGTACAAAAATATGAGTCATCGTACGTTCTCTGAACCCGACAAAGTATCGTCCGCGATGTTGTTTATATGCCACAAGCCGTTCTTCTTCTTGGAATATCCTCTTTGCTAGAGCTCACCTGCTCCAAATACTTTCATGATTCAATGATGAAGAATATACTTAAGTAATATTACGCCATCTCCTAGAGATGATCTCATTTCTCTTATGTGTTTTTCTCTGATGTGGGGTGACTGCTATACATGTCGCGAGGGTCTACTGTGCCATTCTTTCCAGGTCGGCAATGCAGAGGACATAGACGTCCGATGATCTACTAATCTTTTGAAGATAGATAGCTTAAAAACACTTCACTCTCAGAACTAATTAATATTATCTCCCACTTTTTACCACTTCCTTTAGACTTTGCTTCCGCATCATTTGTCGGAGATCGCGCTAGTCCCAAGGAATCGTGCCTACCAGGATCAAGGCCACCAACGGATTAATAAGCTTAGATAACCCTAAACGCAAAAATTTTCTGACCACTTCTAGGTAGCATCTGGACCGTGATCCCAATAGGTATTGTCTAGAAACGTAATTGACTTTGCTACCGCCATGAAAAACCTCTTCTTTCTTTTCTGTGTACCATGTATGCTTGGCATGTATCCTGGCAATTTTCATGGTGTTTCTAATCGCGTTTGTGACGCTCTGCTCTATGTGGTGCACACTTCCGTTGCGTGATCGGGTTGAACACCTAGAAATTTCGCCACTTTTGTCAGGTTTATTCTCTCCCCGTTCAAACGGGATGCAAAAGGCGATTATTTCTTTCTGTCGATAAGTAGTGTAGCCTTTAATCTGATAGAAACCTGCGTTCTTTCTCCTACTTTAAGAACTCTCCAGTGTCTGATTTGTTTTTATGTGAAGTAGTTCTGCCATCGGGGCTTGAATTGTAACAACGAGGTCATCTGCATCGACAACGATGGCCATTTCCAAAACAGAATACTTAGCCTTAACAACCCATCATACGTCAGGTTTCGCACGAGAAGACCCAGGATAGGCCCTTGGAAAAACCTTGCATACAATATCTAGTTTCTTTACTAACTACCGATCTTTCCCACAGGTCCCAGACATACGGCAGAACACCCCTTTCTCTGGTAAAGTTCCTAAGCCCTTGCTCTATTATGGCCTCGATGCCCTTCGCCAGTGTCCCCATGAGACGACTTTGTGGGAGCCTTTATCCTCAGGGTTAAACACGGCCTCATGTTTATGCCACTCTGGTAAGAAACGGCCTGAGTTGAGAATCGGCACAGCAACTATAACGGCCATGTCAGGGAAGTTCTGGAAAAGAGTTCTTATAACTAGGGCCGGGATTCTGTCTAGTTCATGCGCTTTACCTGTTTTCATTCGTTCCTTCGCCTCCAATACGTCTTTTCTCGTAAAAGGTGAGATTTCTTCTTCAGTGTCCGTATCTGTGAACTAAGGGTTAGTGAGATGAGAATAAATATCCTAGTATCTTCACTTTTTCTTCTTCTGGCAAAATATACTTCTTCGTTCTACCCGCTTCCCCCTTTATGAGCCCATAAAAGCGGTCCCATGGGTCTTTCTGCATATGTTGCAGAAAACTTCTTCAGGGAATGTTCCTGCTGTTCCTGATCTTTATCTTAAATTTCGCTTTTCTTAGATTATAATCTTCAAAAGCCTCTTAAGGCCCGTCTAGGTTGTTACCGGCTTTGACTCGTAAGTTTTTTCTAGTTCGGTTTCATACTGCTTGACCGTAAGAAATTTTTTCAATCCACCAATGAGTTGAATTCTATTTCTGACTTATCCCACAGGACCTTCTTACTTCGTAGATTTCTGCTAGGAGTCGGTGTCAATCTGCGGCACTCTGCGGGTCTTTGGACTTAGCGTTTTATAGTCTCCCTATCTCTTTTCTTTTCAGATCTATCAGTGAAGCTCTGCCTGGAATGTACAGTGAGCCCTATAGCATTATAATCGTTTAGCACTTGTTCCTGTTCTTGCACATTCTAGCCATCAGGGTGAGTCACCTTTTTTATATGTGATAAAAAAACTCACCCGGCTCTGAAAGTCACCAGGTCGTGTTTAGCATTGCAAGGTTCTGCGTACTAATCTGTCCTAGCAGCTGCCCACCCCTCCTACTTATCGTACAAACGCCGTATACCTCTGATGTTGAATTTTTTTCTAGTCCCCAGCAATATCAACTAACATACCACCTACTTTAACCATCGCCACCTAAAATTCTTTTGAAGTTTTGTATAATCCCTTTCGCTCCTTAGGTTTTCCAGAAAAACTTTTCGCCCGTTTCACTTCCCATTGTAATACCTTTTCTGTCTTTTATGCATGCTGTGCTATCGAGGCTCTATGTCTTTTGTTCATTGTTCCATAGGTTAGTGTTAGGTTCACCAAGAATTACTATGTGAGCACTTTCGTTCTAGGTAAGCTCTTTAAGTAGATCGTAAGAAGTTCTACTTCTGTTACAGCTAGGCTGGAGAACTGATCATTGCTCAGTCGCTCTAAGACCCTTTTCTTTCATTGTTCTTGTCACAAGGGTCATATCATTTTGTTATCTTCTTTTTTCTTTGGTGTACATGGCTGTCTCAAAGTTACCGCCCTCACCACCCTGCTTTGAGGAACTAGGCACTGCAGCCAAATGGCCTATATTTTTTATCGGTGTCGGTATCTTATTAGCAAATACCCATTCCATTTACTTGCATCTGCCCGTGACTTTCCTCTGCGATGTTGTCTCTATAATTCGGTCAGCTTGTAGAATTTGTGGCAGGAAGATTCGTTCTTCCAATCCTTTAGTACAGCTCAGACCAGTGGCATCTTTTCATTGCGGAAGTCTGGTCGAAGAACTTAAGGGCTTTGTGCTTCATCTTTTGACATCGCACGCCACTCGGCACCATGACCGACCTTGCAAAAAGAGTACCATCTTTGGTGTTGATTTTTTTACGCTAAAATATGAATTTTAGCTAAAGAAACTTTACACTAATCGACGTGTATCAATCTCCATGAAGGGTTGGCGCTAAACAGGTAGTATCTTAGGTAAAAGCACATTTTAGATATTTTTAGTGTTTCACTTAGAAAATCTTTTAGAGAATATTTTTAAAAAAATGTTTCACTATAATAGTTATCGCTTCAACTTTCCCATTGAAACCTTTTAGAAAATTGCTTAAAAACCCGAAGCAAATTTTCAACTTATTATCGCATGAAAGGCGCAGATGCTACATTCTTTTTTTCTGCTTTACTTAAGTCTAAATACTTATTTTAGGTATAGAGCTATGCCTAGCATTTCCATTCAGCTTATCAAGGTCCATCGATTGGTATGAACACATACTTTTCACATAGAACACTATGCAAAATTTTTCAGTCTTCAAACGGCATATTTGGGTATAAAAGTATGTATCAGCTCGCCGAGGGTTTTAGGTTCATATCAAAAACGCTTTCCTTTTCCTTCTACATTGACCCTAACGTAAATATTCGGCTGCCATTTTGTTAAGAGGAAAGAAGTATACGCAAATTTCGTTAAAATATGGCCTATCTCGGCTCCCATAACTTTCCGACGGACATATAAAAAAAAATGATCCATAAACTATTATGCGAACGAATCAAATTAGCATAAAGCCTACTAAGGAAAAACTGCCAAAACAAAAACATATTTGTACATTCGGAAAAAAATTTAATGGCATGGCCCATATTTTATCAAATAAGAACCATTTAGGCAAAAATTACCGACTCATCACAAAGTTACAAAAAAAAAAAAGAAAACGACCTTGTCCTAAATGCAATTTTCTACCTGTTTTGAAAGGCTAGAAAAAAAAACAAGCGATTTTCCAATACGGCATTTTGTAAATTATCGTAGCGGTTATCAAGTAAATAGCAAAAAAGCGACTAGTTTTTCCAAATTTGCATTATGCTCTATGGGAATAAACAAACCATTCCCTTATGGGGACAATACTTGGCCAATCAGTTTCATCTTTAAGGCAGATCTTATCAGGAGGAAATTGTAGGGATGCACTATACTTTTGCGCGCTTGAAAGGAACAACAAGAAAACAAACGTTCGTCGTCTACGATTTTTCAGCTAGTTTATAGACCATACCAGCTTGAAGTTTCTGTTCGGCTCTAATCCGGAAATCTATGTGGCAATAATAATGTCTGTTATTTTCAATTCGGAAAAATGTTACGCCCATCATCAATACAGTATATGGGATTTCGTTTAGCTGACGTCTTTTTTTGTTGAAAACAACGAAACACCGTGGCATATGGGTGAACATTTGTAGGTGGAATCAAGATTATATAAGAAGTTAAACACCGTAGTGTCTTCAAATCATTGAAGTGTACTTAGCGCAACTAGTCGTTTGCTGTTCAGGAGAGATTTGGATCACTTTCAATAAGGGCAGTGCAGTCAAGTGTGTCATATGTCTGACGAGTTTACAAGACGTTCATTTCCTGACCCCTATGCGACTCTAGAAGTAAGACGAGCGGCAACATCTGATAAGGTAAAAAAAGCCTATCGAAGGCTCGCCCTTAAGTGGCACCCCGACAAAAATCCACACAACCTTAAGGAGGCCGAGCAACGTTTTAAAGAAATCTCCCAAGCCTATGAAATACTGTCTGTTGAAAAGAAGCGTCTTATCTGCGATAAGCACAATGAGCGGTGGGGTCCTGGAAAAGACAACCCCAAATCGAGCACTGACTTCAACCAGGGATGGAAAGAGTTTGAGGAGCTGTTGGCTTTATTCGACATCCGTAAGCCAGAAGAAATATTTAAAGATTTCTTTCAAGATGAGCAGCTAGCCAAAGATTTAGCAGAGCTCTGTGGCAAAGCGATAAGCTGTATTGTCTCGTCTGTCGCGGAAAATCTGAGAAAGCACCTGAATTCCGTTTAAAGTACATTTGTATTTCGTCTGTTTTTAATTAGAGAATATTTGTATTTCGTTTGTTTTTAATTAAAGTTAACTAATTAAAGAAAATAAATTAGTTAACAAACTTAATCTTAGCGAAAATGTTTTAGATATAGATTTCGCGTGTTTAATTAATTGGAGAACATTTGTATAGATTTCGCGTGTTTAATTAATTGGAGAACATTTGTATAGATTTCGCGTGTTTAATTAATTGGAGAACATTTCGTTAGTTATTAATTTTAACTAATTAAAATAAATTAGATAGAATAAATTAGTAGTTAAACTTAATCTTAGCTTAGATATAGATTTCCACGTGTATGGATACCGAAGTTTGAAATGCGGTGTAGAGAAATAATTTTCCCCATGTTAGGTAGTAATGAAAATGAATTTGAGTGAAACCACTTTCTCTATATTTGATGGTAATGAATGAAAGAAGAAGCTGAGACATACTTAACCAAATAAAAAGGATACGCAAACACCGAAGTCTGAAGTGCGGTGTAGAGAAATAATTTCCTCCATATTAGGTAGCAATGAATAGAGTGAAACCATTTTCTCCATATCAGATGGTAATGAATGAAAGGAGCTGAGACGTACTTAACTAAATAAAAAGGATACGCAAAAAGAAATAGTGATTCTGAATTACTGTGATCTTCTTGAGAGATGAGTGAGACTTCTGAACTGATCTTGGAAGCGTCCCGCGCTCGAAATTTTCGGCCTAGTGGCTTCAGTGGTAATGAGTAGAATCGAGGTAAACACGAGATAAAAGCTCAAAGATATGCGTAATCAAATAAAATGAATATGCAAGAACAATGAATCATTATACTGAGTTTTTGAAAGCTACCTAACCTATACAAAGATGTGTTCTCTGAACTTTTTACACATGATGCCACAAAATCTATGCATAAATTGTTTACCTTACCTAGGAAGCTAACTTAAATGGGGTGCCATTTTTTGATTTTGTTTGAGCGAATTTATTGGCTGGTGGGTAACTTTTAAGGTATGAAAGTTTATAGAATTTAGCTTACTAAAAGCCGAAGTATGAAATAATTGCATGTTGAGAACATCAGTCCAAGATCTATAAACGATAATAATCAGTATCAGGAAATGAAAATAGCAAAACTCCTCTTATAAATAAGAGGATCTTGGCCTTAGTAGTATGACGACTTGTTATAGATGTTTCTATATTGTTTGCTCATTAGAGTTAGATGCAGTGCAAGTGAACGGTGAGAGTGAAGTGGGAAATAGGCTTTGTAATGGCCCCTCAGCATATCAAAACCAAAACACAGGTTCGTCAAAGGCTAGGAACTGCCAGCGCATAGCAGCGCTAGAAGCTACTCCTGATATCATTCGAATAATGGACGGGCAACCACAATCTATAGTATCTGAAGATGTCTGTTGTCTAGCAAAGTTACTTTTAAGCCCTATTAAGCCATAGTTGGCAATGTCGTCCATGATTCACGTGTTTCCTAATAATAATATCTTATAACTAATAGTAATAACAAAATTCTAAGTCTAGAACGTTAAAGTTTGATTCTGTTACGCACAAGAGTTGGTCTTCATTGACGGCTCTATCGAATACATTATACAAATAGTAATTAATTTATATTAAGAGCACCACAGTTATGGTCTTCAGTGAACGGCGGATTATGGCTCGCATGGATGTGTAAGATAATTAACGAAATCAGACAGATCAAAGGCATATCTCTTATATCAAATACCGTTTATACCTAAGTACATACAGCAGCTTCACTTTCTGCCTGGGTGGCAGCAAGTCCGCGGATGTATCTTTCGAGACCCATATAGCTGGCTTTCCAGTCACAATCGTTCCAACTTTTTAAATACACTTTATATACAAAAATCTAGCCCATTAGTTTAAAGCTCGTTATAAGTACGTGACGTACCGTGGGGCTCGAAGCAGCTGTTTCCGACTTCGCAGATGGAAACTTTCGTTAAAATATAACCTACCTCGGCTCCCACAACTTTCCGACGGACATATAAAAAAAAATGATCCATAAACTATTCTGCAAATGAATCAAATTAGCATAAAGCCTACTAAAGAAAAACTGCCAAAACAAAAACGTATTTGTACATTCGGAAAAGAACTTAATGGCATGGCCCATATTTTATCAAGTAAGAACCATTCAGGTAAAAAGTGCCGACTCATCACAAAGTTACAAAAAAAAAAAGAAAACGACCTAGTCCTAAATGCAATTTTCGACCTGTTTTGAAAGGCTAGAAAAAAACAAGCGATTTTCCAATACGACATTTTGTAAATTATCGTAACGGTTATCAAGTAAATAGCAAAAAAGTGACTAGTTTTTCCAAATCTGCATTATGCTCTATGGGAATAAACAAGCCTTTCCCTTATGGGGACAATACTTGGCCAATCAGTTTCATCTTTAAGGCAGATCTTATCAGTAGGAAATTGTAGGGATGTACAAAAAATTTGCTTAGTCGGATTTTAAAGAAACCATGCAATATAAATGAAAATAATAATCGATCTACTCATAAATACAAATCAATCAATTGACAAGGGAAAAATAACACTGTACGAAATACCCGCACTGTTAAAAATTTTTTTGTCTAATTTTCATTCTTAATTAGTTTAGTAACTGCGTCGCCTGGATGCGCCCCATGAAAGGGTGAATTGAGGCCAGGTGAACCTTATCCCCCCCCCCTCCACTATACTTTTGCACGCTTAAAAGAAACAACGAGAAAACAAACGTTCATCGCCTACGATTTTTCAACCAGTTTATAGACCATACCAGCTTGAAGTTTCTGTTCGACTCTAGTCCGGAAATCTATGTGGCAATAATAATGTCTGTTATTTTTAATTCGGAAAAATGTTACGCCCATCATCGATATAGTATGTGGGATTTCGTTTAGCTGACGTCTTTTTTCGTTGAAAACAACGAAACACTATGGCATATGGGTGAACATTTGTAGGTGGAATCAAGATTATATAAGAAGTTAAACACCATAGTGTCCTTAAGTCGTTGAAGTGTAGTTAGCGCAACTAGTCGTTTGCTGTTCAAGAGAGATTTGGATCACTTTCAATAAGGGCAGTGCAGTCAAGTGTGCTGAATGTCTGACGAGTTTACAAGACGTTCATTTCCTGACCCCTATGCGACCCTAGGAATAAAACGAGCTGCAACACCTGATGAGGTAAAGAAAGCCTATCGAAGGCTCGCCCTCAAATGGCACCCCGACAAAAATCCAAACAACCTTAAGGAGGCCGAGCAACGTTTTAAAGAAATCTCCCAAGCCTATGAAATCCTGTCTGTTGAAAAGAAGCGTTTTATCTACGATAAGCACAATGAGCGGTGGGGTCCTGGAAAAGACAACCCCAAATCGAGCACTGACCCCAACCACGGATGGAAAGAGTTTGAGGAGTTGTTGGCTTCGTTCGACATCCGTAAGCCAGAAGATATATTTAAAGATTTCTTTCAAGATGAGCAGCTAGCCAAAGATTTAGCAGAGCTCTGTGGCAAAGCGATAAGCTGTGTTGTCTCGTCTGTCGCGGAAAATCTGAGAAAGCACCTGAACTCCGTTTAAAGTACATTTGTATTTCATCTGTTTTTAATTAGAGAATATTTGTATTTTTAATTAGTTATTTTAATTTTAATTAAAGTAAATAAATTAGTTAATCTTAGCGAAAATGTTCTAGATATAGATTTCCGCGTCCGCGTGTAAGTTTGAAATGCTGTTATTAATTTTAATTAAAGTAAATAAATGCGGTTATTAATTTTAATTAAAGTAAATAAATTAGTCAAACTTTGTTCTAGATATAGATTTCCGCGTCCGCGTGTAAGTGTGACGAAAATGTTTCTAGATATAGATTTCCGCGTCCGCGTGTAAGTGTGACGAAAATGTTTCTAGATATAGATTTCCGCGTCCGCGTGTAAATTTGAAATGCGGTGTAATTAATTTCCTCCATGTTAGGTACCTTAATTTCCTCCATGTTAGGTAATAGAGTGAAACAATTTCCTCCATATCTTAACCAAATAAAAATGATACGCAAAAAGAAATAGTGATTCTTGTGATGTTCTTGAGAGAAATCTTGGACTGTTCTTGAGAGAGGAAATCTTGGACGTGTCCCGCGCCCCAAATTTCCGGGTTGGCTTCATTGGTTATGGTAATAGAATCGAGGTAAAACCTCAAAGATATACGTAATCAATATAATAATAATAATAAATATGCAAGTAAATAAAATGAATATGCAAGAACAATGAATCATTATACTGAGTTTTTGAAAGCTACCTAACCTATACAAAGATGTGTTCTCCGAACTTTTTACACATGATGCCACAAAATCTATGCATAAATTGTTTACTTTACCTAGGAAGCTAACTTAAATGGGATGCCAGAAAGAAAATTTGTTTGAGCAAATTTTTGGCTGGTGGGTAACTTCTAAGGAATGAAAGTTTATAGAATTTCGTTTACTAAAAGCCGAAGTATGAAATGATTGCATTGTTGTTGAGAACATCGGTGAAAGATCTATAAACGATAATAATCAGTATCACAAAATGAAAACAGCAAAACGCCTTATAAATAAGAGGATGTTTCTCACCTCAATAATCGTATGACGATTTTTTTATTCATGTTGTTTGCTTGAGGTTCAGTGCAGATCAACAATGAGAATGAAGTCGTAAATACGCTTTGTAATGGTCCCTCAGCATATCAAACCAAGACACAAGTTTGTCAGAAGTTAGGAACTGCCAGCGCATAGCACCGCTAACACCATCATTCGAATGGTGAGCGCGTAACCACAATCTATAATATCTGAAAATGTCTTTTGTCTAGCAAAATTACTTTAAATAAAGTTAGCAATGTTGTCCATGATTCACGTGTTCCTCAATAATAATATCTTGTAACTAATAATAATAATAAAATTCTAAGTCTAGAACTTTAAAGTTTGATTCCGTTACGCACAAGAGTTGGTCTTCATTGACGGCTTTATCGAATACATTATACAAATAGTAATTAATTTATATTAAGAGCACCACAGTTATGGTCGCGTTCAATTGTTAAGTGAATGGCGGATTATGGCTCGCATGGATGTGTAAGATAATTAACGAAATCAGACAGATCAAAGGCATATCTCTTATATCAAATACCGTTTATACCTAAGTACGTACAGCAGCTTCGCTTTCTGTCTGGGTGACAGCAAGTCCGCGGATGTATCTTTCGAGACCCATATAGCTGGGTTCCCGGTCACAATCGTTCCAACTTTTTAGATACACTTTATATACAAAAATCTAGCCCATTAGTTTAAAGCTCGTTACAAGTACGTGATGTACCGTGGGGCTCGAAGCAGCTGTTTCCGGCTTCGCAGTTGGAAACTAACTTGAACTACGACGCAAGTACATCGTCTAAACATTGCTAATTGTCGGATGAACAAAATCAAGATGTTCTATATTTTTTCCAAGATTTTCCGAAGCACGTTACCGTAAAGAAAGCCTACTTTCTGTATACATACTTTACTGTCACCTAACTTACAAATAAGTGGTTTTGAGTTCACTGCTACAGATATTGTCTCAGGCACCATGACAATTTTCCGATCGGTGCATAAGACTGAACGGCGCTAGGCCGGGCCAATAGAAGTTCATAACGCACGTTTTTCAATCCTTTGAAACCATGATGGCACAGATGAATTTGATTCGTTTAGTGTCAACATGATTTGCTTAAAATGGCAGAGATAGCTCATGTGCATCTTCATCTGTCGTTTGGCCATGTATGTGGTGTTAATTCGAAACACACCACGACGTATCGGTATAGTCGAAAAAATGCTTCAAGCCACAGGTTGGAGCCTGTTTTCGAATACCAGTAGGTGTTTTCTTTCGTTGAGAACAACGAAAGTTTGTGGCAGACTATGGTTGAAAACATTTGTGGATACAGTCAAGATTGAGTGAATGCATCTATGCAAATTATTCTGACCGAATCTTCGTAGCACCACTTCACGCAAATAGCACGTTGTTCTCATTCAAAAGAGAACGCAGGCGCTCGCGTGCTGGCGTCCCACACTCAACGAACATAGAGATTCCTTGGGCCAACATCGAATGGCTCATACCAGAGCATTTACGAGACTACCACAACGTGACCTCTACGCCGTTCTCGGAGTAAAGCGAACCGCAACATCTGAAGAAGTGAAAAAAGCGTATCGAAAACTTGCCCTTAGGTGGCATCCGGATAAGAATCCACACAATCGCGAAGAAGCAGAGCGACGTTTTAAGGAAATCTCTGAAGCCTACGAAATTTTGTCTGACGAAAGGAAACGCCGTATCTATGATGCCTATGGAGGGCACCGTGGTATTCCGGCCAGTGGTTCTGTCCGAGCGGCCACCAGCAGTCCTTGGCCTAGTTCATACAGCAGCCGAGTGTGGGACAAAGATATAGAGGAGTTTTTAGCTTCATTTCGGTTCCGGAATCCAGAGGATGTGTTTAAGGAGTTCTTTCGGGACGACAACTTCAGCGACCTTGCCAGCTTCTTCGGCAAAACAATCAGGATTAATATACAGTCGGGGCCACAAACAAGGCCTGGCTATCGTTCCCCACATTATCACAGAAATGCTACAAACCCTTTTGCTAGAACGAGCACGCAGTCACCAAGCAGCAGTTCGCCTAGCGACCCATCCCCAAAGACAAGAAGTTCAACGCGAATGGCTAAAATGACGAGCGTGCATTTCGTAAATGGCCGAAGGATCGAAACCACTCGGTACATGGAAGGCGGGAAGGAAATTGTTATCACTAAGGAGGATGGCGTCGTGACAAAGAAAACTATTAATGGCAAGCCGGAACCACTATAGTTGGAGTTAATGCGAGCAAAAGGCCAACGGTGCTGCATAAGGGAAGGTGCGTTAACGTAACGGTTAGGTAAGGTCTACAGATAAAAATGAAGTAGATATACGCGCAAAATTGTGGCGACAAAATATACTCTACCTAAATCACGCTCGGTAAATTTCAGTCAATGAAATCATTTTCAAAGAAAGTTTATAAATAAACTTTCTCGCATATTTAATTAGCTTTCCATAAATTACTTTACGAACAATAAAATAAAATAAAACACGGCGTACATGACGCCATCGTAGTCTCGCTTATCCCAGGGCCCTATCATCCATCCTTCATGCAGAGCCTAGATTAATTTTGTAGATGATTTACTTGCTTGCTTTGGCGCATAAGCCCAAGATAAAATGCGTAATCGCGTACCCAGGAAGCTAGAAACTAGGCGTACATTCTAAGTGGCTTTTGTGGGAACTCGTTATTGACACTTGGGTAAACACTACTACGATCTTGGAAATAAAGTAGATAGTGCCGAACGCTATCTTTCTTTTGTTCTGAAACAATTTTATGCATAAAACGTTCCTATGAACCTGCATAAAACGTTCCTATGAACCTGCAGAAAGGTCAAGGAACTACCCATGCTCAAATGAAGGACAGATACATTAACCTAAATCTTGCTCTTATGAGTTGAGTTAGCTTTTATGCTTACGCGACTTTTTAGGTGTTTAGGACAGATTAGGCACAAATCCTGTGGAGAACGGATCAGCGCAGTTGCGTCTACGGTTATATTTATTTAATAGTTGATTGATATAAATATTGATAGTTGAGATTTGAAAATTTGGTGATTTTCTCGAATTGGTTGTTTTAGGGTTGATCCCGGTAATTAAGATAAAATAGGAAAATAGAAAAACAATTTCACAGATCTTTTAGCGGAAAAATAGGTGGAAAGTGAGTTCGATTATTTAATGTCGCTTTTAATAGTAAAGAGAAACTTGACAGTAGTAAATAACTGTAAAGTAGCGAACATTAGTACTGCGACTGTTTCAAGGCAGGGTCAGTCGTTGATACGAAGTTCTAAACGGCATTGATAATATATAACTCTTCGCTGTCTTCCCAGCAGTAAATTGAATTTATTTACTGCTGCTGAAAAGATATTAGGAAACAACTTTTTGGAACTTGTATAATCCGTGTATAGTTCGCTAGTGGTGCAGGCAGTTAACTTTCGATGCATTTAGGACCCCTAAAAGTTTAAAATACTACTAATTTCCTCTAGGAAGCTAGCACACAAACAATTGTGCCATACGAAAATATCTAGATAAATTTTCTAAAATTATATGAAAAGGTAATTACATTTGTGTATCTATGGCCAATGTTGAGGATGACACATTAGCATAAAAATCTAATTGGCCAAATTGAAGAACATAAACATTTAAGCCGTATCAATCAATTTGATACAGAAGTTTTTATTAAATATTTTTATTCAAAATGATGACTATTTTTGCATAAGCTGGATTGAGACAAAACATTGGATAGAAGGTTTCAAGTGGCGATATTTCAACCATTCATTTAACGCGTATGTCCATCAGCATTTCCGTAAGCACAAAGCCCATGTAGCTTCCGCGTGGCCTAGCGATTGTGTACAAAATAGATAACGGATTCTTCCGCGGGAGATTTTTTTCGACGACTGATTGCCACGATTTTATGGATCCTACGCGCTTCGTCTGCGAACATTCTGTCAACTTAATTAAACATTTATTCATGGTCGAATCTATTTTTTCAGTTGTTTCTATTTCTAAGAGTGCAAGTGACGAAGACCGAAAAGATTCGTCGACGGTCAAGAAGCCTACAGGGTAGATACCAAAAACAAACAAACAAAAAAAGTCCGGTATATATATGCCAACCAATGATACAAAGAAGCCTTAAAAGGAACTTGGAACACTGTATGTCAAAAATATCATCATCGGCCGAAAACAGGCTTCGCGAGTAGACCTCAGATCGAGGACTTCGATTTGTGTTAACATATTTTGATACAAACCCGAACATGTAGAAATTAGTAAACATCTTTAATCAATTCGTTTGTATTCACTTACCTTTTTTTGTTTATGTAATTGCACCTTACCACGTATAGTTTAGAAAATTAATTTAATTCCGTGTAGGCGAGGTACTGGATGTGATCTTATGTTACGTACTACTCCTGAAACAAGCGCCCCTCCTTATTTAAATCAATTTGCGATTTTATTGTCTGATGATTATGTATTGTAGAAAAATTAAGACTGCTTAACACTTGTGGCGAAGTCGACATTTCACAGGTCGAGATTTAAGCGTTCAGGTTCCTACTTCGCCGGATTGCCATGTTGTCATTGTTGAGATTTCTAGAAATTCTGTATTATACGATTTTGTACAAGATCGATTAGGCATTTTTGAGCCTACACAATGATGGTGATTTTTCTTATCTTTCCTGGTAGTACTTCTTTACGAAAACAACAAATCTATGCTGTCTGATGAATCATGCGCTGCCTCTTTAACTAAGACGGAACTTCGTTCTCCTACATGTCATAACCTACATGTCATGGGAATCTCTATCTAGACAGGAGGTATTGGCAGCTACGAGTCCATGCATTTCAAAGCAGGTATGATTGGAATGGCTGACTACCGCGTCCGCGGAGAGCACACATCACTGATCTGTTGATCTTGTAGAGTTCGGTCTAGATAACTGCTCTAATGACAGATAATCTAGAACAAATACCTGAGATTCGTCGCAATTTATACGCGACGATGACATTGTTAACAAAAAACTGAGATCTATGGTGGTGCCAATTGTTATATATCTCGGTAGCGCCTGTTTTTCGATGTCTTAGCCGCCGACCTGCTCATAGGACCGTTCATTTAGACTTTTTTAAATGTGTCAGGCTTTACTTCAGGTAGCGCCGTTAGGTGTTCCATCAGACGGTTGGGTTCTGGCGCGAGACACTTATATAAACTGCTATGACTAAAATAGCTTCATAAAAGATCTTTTCGCTATCTTACTAAGGCGTTCTATGAAAATTAAAGGTGAAATTTCATTCGCAACCTTTTAAGCAGAAGGGGAAATCTGTTTAAGACTTCAGTAAAAGTTGTATTCGGAGTAGCGAAGCCGCTTTGACTTCTTGCAGTGACCAACAGCAAATTACAACGGCATCTCCTTGCAGCCGATGAAAGTAATTCAATTGAAATTCTTTGTACAATTTTGTACAAACAGGTTGTGAAATTTCAGTTGAAAGTTTGGAATCGGGCTTCGAAAAAAAAAAAAAATATACTGTCCAATACCTAGATGTACGATATGTGAGACGGCTACTCGACGGGCTCTTACTCAGAAAGTGGAGAAGGTCCATTGAGAATCAAATAATCTTGGCGTAAATTAGTCGATTCTCAAAGCTAGAGAGTTTAAAACAGCGGAAAGAATAGAAAATTATTTTATCTTACCTAATGTTTAGTTCTGTTTCGGCAGTGATAAGGGCGTTCGCCAGGGCTCGTCAGGAGCAGTAGTTATGTTGCGCGTTCAGTAATCTGCTTATTCTCCTGCCCCTATTACTGCCCCTGCCTATGCGCATATTACTGATGCAGTTGGAACACTACAAGTACTCCTATACATATCGTATATTATTGGTTGTCATGCATGTAATAAATATCCATATATTATTTTTGCATGTATTCAAAAAGCCAAAATTGAACTTTTTTAAAAAGTTTTTTTGGGGCATTAGCTTTGCTTCGCTTTACCTATTTGTCTCAAAGGCCTAAGGCGCTTTGCCCTCAAAGTAATTAATTTTAAAAACAACAAATTTCCGCCTAAATATCCTACACTATTATCATAGTTCTATATTCGGAAACGGTTATGGAATATCGGTTGTTGTAGAACACAACTTATCGAGCCAAGTTTCCTCAGACTTACAAGAATGTGTGATTGTCAATCATAGCCATTCCGACACAATAACGAATCTTAGTAATTCGTTAGAAAAAGCTGTACTACTATATTTCCACTATTTTCATGATGCTTTCGTCTGAATAAGCTCCGTGAAAAAATAGGCAAACGACGAGCCAAAGAAATGACTGCACCCGAAGATGACCTGTACGAGATTCTAGGAGTCCACCCAAAGGCTACCGAAGATGAAATAAAAATGGCCTACTACAAGTTAGCTAAACGATACCACCCAGATAAGAACCCGAATAACGCGACAAGAGGTGAACGTTTTAAGCTTATCAATGCAGCATATAAAATTCTATCTAACAAAAAGCAACGCCGTGAGTACGATCTAAGGAAGAGCGTAGCTAGGTCTGACCAAACATGGGTTCATGACTTCGATGACTTTTTCAATTCTGGGCATTTTCAAAACGCACAGAGCCCTATAAACTTATTTCAGATACTCTTCACATCGTCATTGAACCGTCACGGACCTATTTGTTCCGGTGATGATCGATTTCGGCATCGATGTGGAGAACATGACTGCCGAGGTAAAGAAAAGAGACGAGAGCGCCCAATCAAAAGCTTGTTTACATGTCTTCGTCAAGAAGCCAGTAATCGTCATGAGGACCACGCCCAGGAGGCGTCATGGATGGCTGATTTTTTCACACAAAAGATTGGCGAGGAGACGGTAAATACTTCTAAACGTGGGAGCAATAGTGCTGCGACCGCGTACGAATGTACAGTACAAACTATTCGAAACAGGAATGGTAACGAATTCAGGGTACAGCGAGTGAAAACCGAGTGGAACGGAGAAATAAGTTCACAGACTATAGTTTCCAGGCACATCCACGGAAAGCTGGTAGAGACAATTACAACAAATTGCAATGGTGTGGAGACAATTACAGTTCGTGAAGATGGCGTCGTTAAAAGCCGAATGGTTAATGGGAAGGAACAAAACCCAATCAGAAGGTCAAAATAGGAGGGCTTGCCGTCCTTTTGGATTTCCGGCCGGCAAGAAGCTGGTCCAAGTCGATAATTATTTTCGAAATGAAGAGTGCGTCTGTCGTTTACAAACAGTTTAAATTAATGGAATTAGAAGTTCAAAATAGGTTGTTAGATCTGCAATGAGAAACAGATACACACCTTCGAACAAGTACTGCTTGTAAGCAAGATTCATATTTATACACCAGGGCTGTTATTAGGTACAACCCTTCGATCAACAAAATAATAGTGTTCTATCAAATAAGGATAACATATAGGTATAGGGGGCGCCACAGTTCGCATGGAATCCGTCTTGAAATGAAATTACGCGCATTGTTAAATGTGGTCCTAATAGCATAGGACTTAAGAAACAACTAAGTATATGGGTCACGGTAGTTCGTATAGTACGTGATAGTCATAGACGACAAATTGTTCACCACTTGGCCATTTACGGGTACTTAAAAACGCAATATGGACAGTATTTCCAGTGTTTAAATGTTCTGTGCAAGGAAACAGTATCTGACCTTCCTGTTATACAAATATAAATGTATAAATTATAGCTCTACTACTATTATAACTCTACTACTGTTAACGAAGATAGAGAAATTATAAATAAAGCATTTACTTTTCCTCTAACAGCATAAGACTTAGGCTTTTCAAATTCATTAGATCCATGAGAAAAAAAAACCTAGCATACACACAACTATAGCAGTTTTATCTAGGTGTAGCTGGCGTTGGATCATTAGGCATCACGTGTATTTAGGCCAACTAGGTCCAATTTGATGGCGTAGCACTAGTACTAATTGGTGTCCATAAAGACCTAGGCTAATTTATTATAAAGTAAGTCATAAACTTTGGTGTATACTTAAAAACTTGATTATGAAATATATTTGATCCTGGCGCATCTGTATGATAACTCTTAAACGCTGTCGGGACCGATCGTTCTGAATTCTTGGCTATTTCATCTAACGTTAGATGAGCAAACCCTTCCAGTTCAATACGTAAAATATATTTTAGAACTTTAAAATGAGTATATTGGTCGTCGACTCCTATATGTATATCTTGCAACAAACTCCTCCAAGATTACTATACGCACTCATAAATCCCAAAGTTACTTAATCGGAAGCAGTTCCTCTGTGAGAACGTACGAACGTACTGGGCTCGAGTCCAGCCACTTCAGCAATGCTTTTTTTTTTTGGTCATGAAGAGGAGAATTAATTGCTCCTTCCAAGTCGTTTCTATGGCCTTGAGATCGGGGTGTTCCGAATTCTCGAAAGGAGCCAAACTTCGAGCGATTCCTATTTTCTGTTCGCCGTGCGGCTTCGATATAGTTTAGATTTAACAACGTTGAGGTGTACTAAACCGAACATACCCTTGGATGTGTAGAGTATTAGTCGAAGGAGCAGAGTCGCAGCCGAGGATGAGGTGGCCATTTTGTTCGACATGGTTTCCTAGTTGTATGAGTGTTTCGATATCTTCTGTTGTCTAGTTATTAACCGTGAAACACCAGCGAGCGTGTGTTGGGTTCGACATTTGTCAGTAATATTGCTTGCTGAGTTGTGTCCTTTTACACAATGAAGTGACTGCTTAGTATTTCTAGTCACTTCGCGATACAACTTCTCAGAATCTTAGCAAGGCGAGTGACGGAGGGAGCGGCTATATAAGGAGACCCTTTTCAAGTGGTTTATCCTTTTATCTCAAGCACCCGTAGCGATAACATCAGCTATTGAGGTAGACCCTACTACTCCTACCACTAAAACACAGTGCACACAACACAACAGCTTTAGAAAAGATTCAGGATATGATATTTCATAGGTGGTAAAATGACTGAATAATATATCCTTGGGGGCCAGCTTGAACGTCTTTGAATACCGTAATGAAATCTGATGTATTTTCGCGCGATTGCTTTCTTTCATTCTTAATTTCCTGAAACACCTATGAACAGTTATTAAACGGCCACACCTCTCTGGACTCGATGATGCCTAGAGCAGCCAGAACGTTTCCTGCTTGCCAACTCTAAAACCTACGACGGGAAGGAATTAAAGAATACTGCAGCTCAATGGCACAGAGTTCCCTGTAAATCTATCTAAAGGGAACATTTTAACGATTCAATAGGAAAGATCGGGACTCCGACAGGATCGCCCCTCCCAGTAAATTTTTTAATCATATGAAGACTAAATGAAAGGTTACGATGCTTCAACAGTTTCAGCTGTCTAACGTATTTTCATCTGTAAAATCAGCATCGAACAGACAAATAGACTTACTTAAGCAATTCTCAGAAGCCCAAGTACTTGTCCCCATTATAGGGTTACACATGTTAGGTTAGTTTTGGTAGTATAATCTTTCATAAAATCATACTACACTATGAATTTTAGTATTGGCAGAAGGAAGTTTGAATCGGAAAGAAGCAGCACTATAGTTAGGTTGGAAACGTAAATTCAGAGCACGTCTTTTCCATTTCTGTCATCTCGATCTTCACTAAATGAAGTCAGTGAATTGATTTTGATTTAAAGTTATCTAACTTATCAGGGAAATGAGCCATTCCCTCAGGCAGTACTTAATCGCGCAGCAGTGGTAGTCGCTTTGAGAATGTATCATACTCGAATACAAACATGGATAGTGCAAAGGAATATTATAAGAGAATTATGACGTTTCCGTGACGCTGTCCTTAGAATTATTGTAGACCTTAAAGTGGTGAAAATGATCGTGATTACCACAAGCGTATGTATGTATCACTAGTAGATTGTTACGGTTATCCAATGCCGAACTTACTGATCGCACTATCCATATTGGTATCCGATTTATAAACATCAGTCGAAATTGAAAAGCAATTTATTTCTTGGCACGTATTCTCTGCTCAGGCTGTTCCATAGCGATTTGCGCCTGTTGATGGACATTTTTACTTTTAACTAAACCATCTTCACGAATAGTAATCGTCTCAACACCCTTATCATCAACTAACTTTACAGTTTCCTGAAGCTTTCCGTTGACTCGTTTTGTGTATGTGGTCTTCGAAGTCTTTTTGTCGCCATCTCGAGTTTCCTCTCGTCTCTCACTGACTATATCGCCATTGTTATCTCTATACGTTTGGCACACACGCCGAAAAATACATCGTTCAGTCCCGTTCACTCCCTCCAGTGGATTGGCGAACATGTTTCGAAAAAGATTTTCAATGGGATCCCCAAAAGAACTCTCATCAGCTATACCGGCAGTTTCAAAGTAGCGCGGTCTTCTTCGATCTGAGCCGAAAACGTTGTTGGCCCTTGTTCGCCTGTACTGGTCCCTTCTTTGCTGTCTGCGCCTGCGCCGTCTAGCATTGAATTCGCTAAGCGGAATTATAATAGACGGAAATCTAAAGGAGGACATGTGGAAGGGAGTGAACAAATTACCGAACATATCGAACGGATCCGAATGGAAAATGTCGTTCATACTGGAAAACTCAGCAAACCTTTGCTTTGCATCGTACTCGTGACGCTTAGTTTTATCAGACAAAATCTCATATGCAGCACTAATTGCTTTAAAACGCTCGCCCACAGCCGCATCATTTGGGTTTTTGTCGGGATGATACTGTTTCGCTAAACGACGGTAAGACTGTTTGATTTCCTTGTCGGTGGCTTGCGGGGTTACTTCCAAAATTTTGTACAAGTCGACGCTAGGTCTTACCATTTTGTATCCCTGTCACAGGTAATCGTTATATGCTTTCAGTGTCTATAGCCCTATTCTACGTCATCACAGTGCAGTACAAGAATAGGATGGTGTGATGGATCTAATCACAATCTTGACTAACAAAAATCCATCACTTCGAACGGCGTCGTTTTTCTATTCTAACGATTAGAGAAACCCGAAAATGATTAGATTTCATCAGAAATGAAGGCAGTAATTTCCAAAGGCGGATCTAGTAAACACCACCGATAGTTTCTATTAGCTTAGTATAGGCCGTTTCCACCCTCGGAGAGGGCAGTTTTTACTATCCTTTTTTTTTTCTTTTTTTTTTTATATACATAATGGGACAATTTGAAGAGTCTTGAAGAAGCAAAAGCAATTTTTACCGAACACAGTGCTGACAGACGTATTCGTTTGCTTGAAAAAAGATCCTAGGGAAAAACTGAGAAATCATTTGAGGCCTACCGAGTCTGGTAGGAGCGATCTGGAAAACAGTAAGGCCTAGGCGGAACTTCTATTTACCCTGTATATGCACCATGAGTTCATTCTAACTATGTCTACACATTTTTGCACCTGGCTTTCGATGAGATGTATCGAAACATTTAATAAGTTCATTTACCCAGGGTAAGGTTAACCGCGTATTTTGAAACTGTAGTAACAAGGTATTACGTAGAAGGAAAAATACTGACTCTTAAGAAACCAAATGTTTCTCTACCAGTACTTAGATAAATTCGCATATGTGGGCGAAAGTTGTAGTTTTATTATGAGTTATTAGTTTAATTAATAAATAATAAAGTAAAACCGAAGCAAACGTACAGATCCTCGTGAAAATATGGCATATAAAATACGATGCAGCCGTATGAGCCAGCCCGTTCTTCTAACGAAGAAGCACTTCGCTTTGAGAAAAAGTATGATCGAAGCTTTTGAGATTCTAGTTAGTTACTGGATTTTATTTAAGCAAGTTTGATCACAGGGTAGGCCACAGTTAAATATTACGTTAATAAAGAACGTTTGTTGAACAATAATAAGAATAAACAATCCGTGGATCCTTCTTTACCTAGAGGGCTACGTTGTTCAAAAGCGGCTGAAAATCAACTGCGCGTTAAGTTCTGTTATGTGACTCAACCAATAGGCCAAACTGAGAATGATATAGTAGCGCATGTCGCCCGTCCTGTAGCTCTCATCACCGCGTTTTGCAAGGTTACATAGGCCAAAGACATGGCTTCCTTATACGATACTTTCTCGAAATTTATCGATTCATCCACAGGCCTTTCTGAAACACGAAGTAGAGAGTCCTAATCCACAAGGATGATTATTTCTGCGTAGTCTGGCAAATATATCCCCACCACACTCTAATCAAAGTAAAAAAGAACGTTTTATATATAGCTGTTGTTGTTGCTGCTGCAGCATAAATCTTTATAAAGATTTATTTCTATTTACGTTCTGCTCGGATACTAAAAGTGCTGCCGCAATGACGGCCGTAAGACGATTTTTCGTTTCAAAATAATATTATCGGTAACCTGTCGTGAAAATGAATGATTTAAATATTAAAATTTAAAATATTTAAATAAGTAAAAGAGCGTAAAAGGTACTATTACGTGTAAATTCTGTATTGTTTGCTTCCTAAGCCAGTAAACAATTGAAGAAATCAGCTTTATCAAATCCCTAATTTTGTAACCAGTTCGTGTGAGCGATGTTAGATAAGGTACTGGCTAGGATAACTCTGAGCGCCTACGTAGAATTCAATGATTCCGATTACATCATTGAGGATTGACTGTGCTACGCATATAAAAGACTGTGTTTTATTGGCATTCAGCTAAAGCGTGTCTTCTTTGTAACTGCTGAATGCATTTTCTCGGGTGGATTTTGAATGTACTATCGTTTGTGTGTATTGTCGCACGTACGTACCTGGCAGTACGTCTAGTGAACATTACAATGGAGAAAAATGCAAGGTGCCCCCTGAATGGTACGGAAGTTAGCTTGGAACAAGCGATACGATGGCCTGATTCGTTTCAGAGTCTGTTTCCTAAAGTAATCCAATTACTCTTCACAGTTTATTCTCTCGAACGGATGCCATAATCCATGAAGCCAGTCACATTTGCTTTAGCTGCATCCAATTTAGGCCGATCTTTCCTGTCAGTCATTCATCCTCCCAGCCTGGCAAAATTCTGTGGTCAATACCTCATTAGAGCATTGTGCAGGTCAAGAAAAGCTAGGCGAACTAACGATGTTTTTCATCGGACCGAACGTCCTTCTAATTTTTTTCTAAACACATAACGCTAATAGTTAGTTATACGTTTAACGGGTATTTATTAAACGAGCGATGAAATTTTCATTTTCAATGTTATTTCCGACATTTGGACCTAGCTGTTTTACCTTGGTCCGGCCCCTCCTAGCTCGCCATCGCTTTTGATCTGAGAAGTATCTTAGTTGGCTTCAGAAGTGGCCAACTTGATATAACAGATGCCTCATTTGATCCGAAAAGTGCTTGATTAGATTTGCAAGGCATTCAGAAGATATCCATCCGATTTGGATCGAAAAGAGTTTAGCCTGATTTGAAGAATACTGTTTGATTTGAAAGCAAAATTTCTAATTAAATTTCAAAAATGTCTAGAACGAAAAACCGATGGTGAACATGGGTAGATAATTGCGTGCCAAACGAGCAAATGGCTTGCTTTTCAAGCCTGTTTCTATTGGCTGTCGCAAAGCGTATTGACCATCAGGCTCCAAACCGTCTCCCGTCTTCTTACCTTTCCACCACTAAGATTTCTACAGCTGATCTACTTGAAAAGCCATCTTCAATATTCAGTTTTTTGCCCATAACTCACCAATCGTGTATTATGCAGATTAGCTGCGATAGAACGACTGTGTGAATTTAACTGTCTGCCACTTTTTCGCCCGGGTCACGGCGGGTCAAAGACAGCACAAGGCTTAAGCGCTTACCTCTGCGCTTTTGAATCGCATTGACCTATGGGTTTTTCTATGTCATGTTTATAACTATATGTTCGTAATGTATACGTAATAACGAAAACGGAAATCACTTCCTAAAGCTGTCCGCTTCGAATCATTGGAAAATGAACAGTTCTTTACGGGACTCGCCCAAGCATGCCGCCGGCTTGCAATGGAAATATTTTGCCAACTTTGAGTCTCGGAAAGTGGCGTTGGCATACACCTACCTACCTACCTACCTATACGATCACTCGCGGACGTCTAACAAAGGGCTGGCAAATAGTTCGATAAGGGTTTAATAATTTATTGATGTTTAGCCTACATGATCTGGTATTCTTGCCTCGAGAATAGGCTTTGCTAACTAGTAAATGTTCACACCTTCAAGTAAATATATAATGATGTTTAGTAAATTTATGGCTAAAATTTAACTAGGTTAGGTTTATTAGGTACTGCTTCACAGTATCTGCACACCAGTTTATATGCTCGTAGAAAAACCTGAACCTCTCTATAGAGACAAAGCATTGATTTGATAGAACTGTTTAGTTTCATTTTAATTTAATTAGAGACACAAACGCTTATTTCACTAAGATCCAGACAGACATTGTCCTAGAGAGAAGGAATCGTATAGTAAATAGGCATGATTAACAAACAATAATTCTAGCATGCCATAGACAAATTAAATATAGTTAAAATTAGGCTTGTCAGACTTATTATCCTCAAAACGGTAAATAATTCTCTGTGATTTTTTTACAGCTAAGAGTTTGTGGTCGTTGCAGTGAAGTGGGTGCCCCTTAGGGTGCTAAGCGATGATGTGCTGAGCGAAAAAGCTAGCAGTCGTTCATATCGAAGAATGATCTAATTTACATAGTCCTTATCAAGTCCGATCTAGCTCACAAAGACATCGATCAAATGAGAAATAGTTATCACGATTAAAAAAAGCGTGCACGAAGCGGTTAGGGTAGTTATTTGACCTTTTATTGAGCGCTCCGATGCCATTTCTCCATTGTAAAAACGGTCCGAAAGTTCCTGTTTGTGGTTAATATGCCTGCTTGAAGTCGTCACCTCCTCAAAGTCTTATTCAAGCTAGTTTTCTGCGGAAACACTTCGTCTCAATTTAGCCCAGCCACTTAATTTACGGAAAGCAATTGTTACGTAAACAACAATAACCCAGAGGCGGAAAAATATATATATAGTAGGACAGGGCTCACGTAATCACCTGCGGTTGGTACAACCCCTCATATAGGTACGTTCTATACAATACAGATTCTTCGCATCCCAGAACGAGATGCTCATGAAGAAAACATATAAAATAAGACAATTCAGGCCTGCCCCTATATGGGTTTGTCTTCAAACAGGAAATTGGTAAAAGTGTCCGCCAAATCCAAGAAAAATAGATTAGAAAATATTAACCTAATGTAAAGACTAGGATTATGTCACGGCAGAGATCACTAACCTTTGAGATTACTGCAACAATACGTTCGGATAGCGGCATATGTCGAAATGAATCAGTTATATTTATCCCGTGATACGGTGCTGTCAAAACATATATATCCCGATATGTAACTTAATGACTCATTGGACGCGCCACTTTTCAAAATATGAATAAATCAAAACATTTCAACCGTACCAATAACTACGAGCATCAAGATAAGAATACTAATTTCAAGTATGACATTTACCAACCATATGTTATATCGATAACAGTCATCAGGAAGGGACGCAAAACATAGAATCCACCATTTATCAGGCTGTTGTCTTATCAGCTGTATCAGCTGTTTAAACTAATACTTTAGAAACTAGAGTATTTGCTTAGTTCCTAACGAAAAACTCCTGATACAGTACGTAGTTAGCTACCTAATCGCCTTTGACACCATCAAATCGACACCTTTTTCCCCCGTTAAGTTAATCCTATTCAATATAATTATACCTGCGCTCGAAACAGATATTAAACGGAACCCTGCGTTCAACCTCGGTTCGTCGACTTAGGCGTATAGAGTCGTGGGTAACGTAGTTGATTGCTGCTCCTAAGAACACGTTATGATGATCTAGGTTTGAACACGGCTATGTCTATGCCCGTGTTCATTTCGTGTTGGGTGAGAGCCACCCGTCTCTCTGATAGAAGCCCTATCCTCTACGCCGGACGTAAAACTCGAGACTTGCGGTTGCTAGAAGTACTGCATCGATGTGCAACTACGAAGTAGGGGAAGTGTTGACGAAGTAAATATAGAATATTTTTGAGTAAA